GTGTCACCCAGACACCCGACGGTGTCACCCAGATCCAAAATGGCCGCCAAGTGTGCTGACTTGCTTTAAAAAAAAGCCTTTGCCTTCATAGAGCTGCACCATCTGATACCCATCAGCCCCATATGCAGGCCCTCCACCCCTTCAATCAGAACAGAGCCTTGTTGTTTACACCCATCTTTGTTCTGCTACATCTCAAGTCTTTCTCCTCCTCCTTATGCTAAGTGTTTAGCCTCCGGCCGTGTGGGATGTTCTTGCTCTCATTCTTGTTATTTTTATTTTTTGGGTCCACTGTCATGTGCATAAACTAGTGGCTTTGAAACTGCCCCAGTGGCTTCCCTGCTGAGGGCAGAATTTCCCCGCAGAGATACTTTGATGATAATGACTTTATGCTTTGGGGAGCCTGTTTTATGACACGTTGTGCCCAGACACCCGCTATCGTTGAATGCACGGTAGAGCAGTGATCACAGGACTGTGAATTAAACGTCAGCTTCCCACCACCACAGGCGGAGGGTGGACAGACCTGAAGGCCTAACACACCTGGACAATGTTTTTCCTCATGCTCATCTTTTTCTTTTTTCTTTTTTTGTACTCCGCATTAATGGGTGTTTATGCTTGTACTCTGAAGCGTAAGCATAGGGTTGGCTGTGCCACTTTTTACTTATAATGAAAAATGAAACTAATATTATATATCAGCGTTATTTTCTAATAGCGTTATAGCTTTTATTTATTTATTTTTTTGTTATGGCATAGTTTTTTTTTTCCATTTAGCCTTAATTTATTTTCATTCCTTTTTCTTTTTCTTTTCTTTTTTTGTTGTTGTTTTAGTAGTGTTATTACGTCAACTTAAAATATTAGAAGACAATATTAACTGAAATAAATTAGTTTATTTTAGAATTTTAATTAGCAAATTTTTTTTTTACCAATTATAGATTTAGTAACCCTTACCCTAACCCTAATCACCCAGAAATGAAAAAAAACCATCTATTACCTATAACCATAGAAATATGACATATATCAGAAAAGTAACAGTCAATGAGTCAATGTGGAATACATGAAAAATTTTCATTCCAAAATAAAAATAAGAACATGAAAAGGGTGGAAAAAAAAGTTTACAGTACTAATGCGTAATGCAATTCCAATGCATTTTTCTTCATATTGATATTTTGAAATGTTTTTTGATATATATATAAAATTAGATATATATAGAGATGTATATTTCAAGATATTTTTCATCATAGAAATGTTTAATCACAGTTCATGTATGATATTTATAACATATAATACATATTAATTAAATTACATATTACATAAATCTTTCTTTTTTTAACTAATGTTTAGTAAATAATTTACATAGTTATATTGGCAATTCTCCAACATATTTTACATATTAAGTTCTGCCATGTGAAAAAAATAATTTTAGCATTGAAAACTGCCTGTCACTTTTCTCAATCATATGCAGAATAGGATGGGCTTTTTCTATAAAAAATAATCATATACCATTTGCTAGATTTATGACATGACACGGCTTACCCCACTCCCCCAACATCAAGCCATCATCTTGATGTAGAACATGCAAAAAGCCGTGTAAGATGGGAGAGAGAGAGGGGTTGAAAGAAAGATGTAGAAAGAGTTGGAAGATGCCGGAAAGGGCTCGCTTCAAAGAACCACATCACTGGAGGTTATAGGAATGAAGTAAACAGTGTTCGTAGCTCTTAGATCTGCAGTAACCACAGCACCCAGAGGTTTGATATCCAACTCTCCTTGGGAGGGTTTCAAAGCCCTGTTTTGAGCTTGTCATGGAAGCTTAGATTTCTTTCTGCTTGTCACTCACTTTAATTCCCTCCTCTCCTGGCCTTCTTGTTATTGATTGCGTTCACAAATTAACAACACTCTAGTTTATTGTGGCCCACTTTCAGCTACTTCCTCTCAAATTGTCTCCCTCGTACATTGGCTGTTCTAAACAACTGTGGATTCGCTGAACGTCCGATGAACTCATTCACATTGGGTTTGTTGTGTCTCTCGACTCTCCAAAGAGTCAAAACCAAATGCGGTCCAGTCTGGCAGAGCATTTCGCCAGTATCCGTGCTTTTCAACTCAAACCAGATCCAGGATCGGGAGCTCGGGATCAGATGGTGGGGGTAGGTTGAATCACATCCGCATGTTCTCATTTCTTTAATAGACTTTCAAGGTCTTTTTTATTGGGCCTGTTTGTTGGCATATGTTGTTTGATGCTACCATGCTTTTGGCTGTCTTTTATGCTTTCCCCAGCCAGGAAGGATGGACACCTGCTGCTCTTTCCGGTTCTTTCATAAACTTTTGTGATTCCTCACTCTCACACCCAAAACAGTACAGAAGAATCCTCCCGCTGGGAAAAACGACTGCTTTAAGGGACATCTGCTACCAAACCCTCCACTTTGGCTGCGTCTTGTCTTAGACATTTGGCTGAGGTCATCCTGGATTATTTTAAATAATGCCTTACTGTGACCTAGACTCCTCACCCTAATGAACTGCTGAAACCGCTTGAGTCCTGGGACAGTGCAGCGACACTGCGAACACATTTTTCAGTCCCATTCCTTCCAAAAAGAAGCCGCAGATGGGAACGAAACGGGTTTGTGTTGAATTAGGGCACCCTGGGTCGATTATTCGTGTGTGTGAGAGCATGTCAGACAGCTGCAAGTCATTCTACCCCAACTGTGCGAGCTGAGCTTTTGTTCTTCAGGCTCGTCCTGCTCATCTCCTAATTGGATGTATGAGCTGCGGAGAGCTGGACAGATTCCCCAGCGAGCCCCACCCGAACTAGGCCGGTCCCTATGGTACAGCATGTGGCTTTGATTTGTGACTTCCCTGAGGTGTCTCCTTCTATCATCTGTGTGGTTTTGGCACCAAAAGCATTACCGTAATGAGATATTGACCGAGCAAAAAGGATTACTGTCGCTTTAAATCAAACCAAAGTGATTGCGGTCTGCCTGCGAGAGGAAAGTGGAAGCAAAATATGGCCAAAATAAGATAGAAGAGAGAGCCTTTATACCACATTCTGTGATCTGTACCCCCGTCACCCTCCTCATGTCCTGAACTTCCTGTAATTGCTGACCTTGGTTACAGATTCAACAGATGCATCTGGTTATCGACATTGCCTCTTGTTGCAGGAATTTGTGGTGTGGGATTCCAGATGAAAATGGTGTCTGGGATTGTGTGCATCAGGCCTCTTGTCTTGATATTGAAAGTTGATGCATGCAGTTGGAAGGAATTTTAGAGACAAAATGATCAGTCTTATAATTACATCTTAAAGATTTAAAATATAATCGTTAATAAAAAATTGCATGTTGCTATTGTTGCAAATGCCAAAGATTTTTTTGGTCATTTTTTTCCCAATAATATCCCAGATAACGATTAATGCCCTGATTTTTTAAAAAGGGAAAAAGTATACCTTGAACATATTTTGCTTAAAGGCATCTGCCAAATACATTAAAACAAATGTAAAATATCAATTTAAAATCAATTTTTAAAAATCCTTCACAGTCAGGTTTTCCATGTTAACATCTTTGCAAACTGATTATAACTTTATTTCTTACATTATCTTTGTAACGTCTTGGCTTTTATCACAAGATGCTCTGAATTTTACAGTTTTTAAGAACAAAGTGTTCATACATTCCTCGGGCATAATGTACATTTCTGTAGATTTAAAATGAATGATGCCAAGGTCAAGGGTTCAAATTTACCAGCAAATGCTTGGAAAAAAAGAATCCTATGAAAGGAAGTTGCTTTAAAAAAAAAAAAAAAAGCATGGTAAAAATGTCTGCCAAATGCATAAATGTAAAATTAAAATGTTAAGTTACCGTCACGGTCAGTTTTGCATGCAAGCATCTTCATAAACAGCTTACAAGCTCTTGATCTTTCTCTCAGGATTGTCTGCAGCAGAGCGACAGATGCATCTGGTTATCTGTGTACCTTCACATTGCCTCTTTTAGCAGGAATTTGTGGTGTGGGATTCCAGATGAAAATGTTCGCTGTGATCACTGGCGTCTGGGATTGTGTGCATCAGGCCTCCGTCTTCATATTGAAGGCTGATGCTTTTAGCTGGAAGGCAGTTTCTCAGCATGGAGGCCATTACCACTGTAGAGCTCCATTTGTATGAATGGCAGTTTGTGTGTATGTGTGTGTAGCGTCTGTTTGCTCGGTTGTGTGCGTCAGAGTGCATGTTTGTAGAGGTCTGTACTAAGTGCCTCAGGCCTGCCAAACGAGTCAGAACTTTTGTAGACGATTTTGAAATGTGGGGGGGAAAATGAAATGTGAATGTTCCTTGAAATGGAGCAGCGTAATGAACTCAAGACTGTTCCCATATTCAGTACTGCTCTGGCGTTTCTCCACGTATCCCACAATGCCTATTCATTTGAGTCCCTAACCATTGCGTTCTTTCGCTCTCTAGCACACTTTCAATCAGATTGTTTTTCCAATTCCTGATACAATCAATTGCAGACGTTGATGATAACTAGGTTTTGACCTTGACTCTCTCAAGAGTGGATACTTGAAGTAGTGTGATTTCACTCTTGACGGTCGAGTCATAGATCTGCGCTGAGTCATCATGGGAGCAGACTGTAGATGAGTCACATCGATGAGATGGACAGCTTGGGTTGCCCTCACTTACTGCAATCCAAGAATTCCTAATGTTTATACCTCACATGCTGTGAACTGACTGCAGCTTGCTTTCTCAGAGCTACCTGCTGCTACACTTGTTAGTTATTGGCGGTCAGTTTCGATGTTCTAATAAGGACTGCGTACTTACTGTTTACAATCTTTGAACAGCTTATCAAAGTAGATTTTACAGTCAGAAATTGAGTTTTATAAGAAAGTTTCAGTTAAAAGGCAGTTAAATCTAGGTATCAAACTGGTCCTGTGTTCCTGACCTTCTACAAAAAAATCTGTATTGATAATGACCTTCATAGGCAAGTTTAGTGTCTTGTTGCATGTTTACTAAAGCACTAAAATATTTTTTTCCCTAGGATTCTCTGCGGCAGAAGGACGAGCGCATCGAGGAGCTGGAGGAGGCCTTGCGTGAAAGCGTACAGATCACGGCCGAGAGAGAAATGGTGTTGGCACAAGAGGAATCTGCCCATGCAAATGCAGAGAAACAGGTGAGATGACGCTCAAAGATCATTAATATGCACTTACTCTCTCTTTCAGTTTTCTCTCTCTTTCAGACTCTACATATTGTTCACTTGCCATTTTTTCTTAACCTTCGGACCAGTTTTATTTAATGCCTTGTCCTTTGAGTTCAGAGAGAAGTAGTTTATTAAGTAGAGTATTTTTTATTTTATTTTTATTATTATTATTTAATCAAATTATCTTTTAATTTATTTTACCTTTATTTTATCATATTTAATTTTATTTAATTTGATCTTTTTATTTATCTTTGTGTTTTTTGTTTAGTTTTTTTGAATGAATGAATTGTTTTGGGTTTGGTTTGGTTTCTTAAAAATCTCAATTTAATGAGACGTCTGTCAACATTATCAATCCAGTTGACAAAAAGATTTAGCTTGGGGCAGCCAGCATTGGCAGTATTGAGACTTCTACTATCATAGTCTACATCCAGATAACTTTTGAAGTATGATAAACTGTCATGTTTACTGGAAATGTTCCTAGTAATGTTTCTAAAGAGGTCCTGTGTACCTGTGATGTGTTACCCGAAGCAAAATGTGTGCGGTAACTTCAGTGTGATGCTAGCCAAACCCTACAGCCATCTTTTCATTGTGGAAATGTCCACTTCCTCATCCTCCTGGTCAAACATCCTTCCCAGTGTTTACACAGAGCTGTATGCACATCCACGCAAGGCTAGCATCTCTCAGGCCGGGCTGTAATGGCTTTTCCTTGGCGGACAGTATCGCTCCCATTAAAAAGCCTCCTTCACAGAGCTCAGGAACCAGCAAAAAGCCGGCCTGTCACAGCACATCACCACACCAGCACATAAAGCTATGCCAACCATCCAGATCCATGCCAGCGATGCCTCGCCTTGCCAGTGGCCAACATTCATGTGGCATGCATGGGTTACGTGTTTGTGTCTGCAGTCAGTCTTCATTTAGAATATAAATAAGCTTTGCGTGTCCTGCGTGAGGACTGCTAACTTTGGTCCGATTCAGTTCAGCCACATAGAACGTGCATACGCACATGAGGAACGTCTGGTGTGTGCACAGAACATGCCAGCGTTTCTTTCTCCTAAGCAGGAGTTCAACTGGGATTTTAAAGGTAGAGGAACAAAATATTGGGTAAATACTGTATGTAGACTCTACCTGGGTCTACTTAAAGGAATTGTTCATCTAAAAAGGACAGCTCTGTAATTATTTACTCACCCTTATGTTGTTCCAAATCCATAAGACTTTGAAGCACAAATTATTAGATATTTTTAGTGAAACCTGAGTGGTTTCGGTCCCTCCATTGAAAGCCCAGGTAACTGAAACTTAGAAGATCCAGAAAGTTCATATAGGTGTCGTTAAATAATTCCATATGAAACGTCTTTTGAAAGGTATAAATGCTTTATATGATGAAAAGATTTAAATTATTCACACATATAAACAAATACGTAGAACATATCTTGTATGGATCTCCTTTTTTGGATCTTCTAAATTTGTATCTAAATGATAACCTGGATTTTCAGTGGATGGACAGAAACCTCCCAGGTTTCATTAAACATATTCTCATTTCTAAGTGTTTTAAAGATTAACCAAAGTCGCATGGGTTTGGAACGACATGAAGGTGAGTAAATGATCACAGAATTTCCTTTTTTGTGGCGAATTATCAATTTAATGCAACTCAACGGTCTAAATGGAGACTGAATGTGCGTCCTGATGTAGAACATGCTGGAAATGGATTGAATTTAGAAATAAACTGCCAATAATTTGTTATATTATGATTCAAAGTTACTGGAATGCCATACTCGAGTCGTTCTGACCCAGTCTAACCTCTTTTTAAAGGGGTCCTATTATGCTCTTTTACAAAGTCTTGATTTTGTTTTGGGGGCGTACTAGAACATGCTTTCATGTTTGGTGGTTCGAAAAATACATTATTTTTCACATAATTTACATTATTAAAATACCTTTCTCCCGAGGCAGGCACAAACGGCTCGATTAGTTCCGGCTTTGATGAAGGTCTGCCTTCCGAAAAACAAAATGTGTTGTGATTGGCGAACAGCTTAGACGGTGTTTCAGTACTGCCCCGCCTCTTGCTCTGTCTTTCAACAAAAGCTTTTGGGAATCCGGCACTACTCACTCGTGATGTGGAAGCTGTCCTCAGTCAAATGTGCAGCACACAATAGCAAATTGGGGTTATAATGCTCAGGAACAGAGTTAAAAA